GTGTACGGACTCCAATACTACTTTTTAAAATATAGAGATCGGTATGCTAATCATAGTTAACTATAGTGGGTTATATATAATTATCCCGAATTGCTAAAGAAGAGTGCTATCAAATAGGATTCGAGAGGGTTAGGGTTTACGATTATTGTTGTAACGAATGAGGACCTGAGGGTCAAACCAAGATCAAGGCAAAGAACCTATCGTGGAGTTGAGGACTATGTGTAAGGCAAAGAACTTGTTGTGGTATTGTCCAATAATGAAGTTGAGTTGAATGAGTGTTTTTTTTTTTAATCATACTTTAAATCATTGTTTGAATCAATGGTGTTTCTGTTTAAATCATAGTTTTGTGAATTCATGGTGTTTTCGAATCAATATTGTTTCTAGTTGAATCAGTGGTGTTTTTGAATCGCAGTTATGAATTATTACTAATGTTCATAGTGTTAAATCATTGTTTTGAATCATACCAAAGAATCTTTATTTTATATTGTGAATCATTATTTTGAAACCACACTAGTGGTATTTCTATTTTTGCTATAGATGATCAGTAGTGTTTTTGCCTATTGTATTAGAACATTTTGTCGACTTTGTTGATAATAGTTCTGATGAGTATGATGGTGCTCCATTACAATTGATTGAGAGGTCGAATAAAAGGAATAAAATAGTACAAAAGATGGGGCATAAAATAATACAAGGGGAGGTGGTGGAGAATGATCAAATGATCAACAGTCTAAAGTTGATGAAAATGCTACGATTCAGGAGCAAACATGCCTTGAGTGTTATCTACAATTGTACTGCTTAAAGAATCTGCAGCCAGCCAGGTTATCAACAGTCTAAGATGAAGAAAGAAGATAATGAAAATGGTAAAGACACTACAGCTGATTACCCAAGCAAAAGATGAAGCATTATATTCCATACTATAATATTGGAGCTGACATGAATAACCCTGATTTCAGTTAGGGCTGTGTTTTGTTAATGCCGAAGAGTTTTGATTAACCAACATGTCATAACAATGGGAAACAACTCAAATATATTAAAAATGATAAGTAGAGAATTAGGGTGATATGTTAGGATGGATATGATTGGATGATATATGTATCAAGAAAGCTAGGAGAGTCATCTCTATATATTTATTTACGTGGGAGATCATTTGATAATCCTCTAGTCACCGTTAAATGGTAGGCCGATAAGATCAGAAGGAATCCCACATGGCTAAAAAAATCATTGAAATCAATAATTCAAAAAGAATATACTTTGAATATCCATATATACAAAGTTTATAGAGTAAAGAATAAAGTATTATTGAATTATTGAATTATTACGAGGAGATTTGCAATCATGAAATTCACATTTGCATTTGATTTGCTATGCTGATGGGGAAAATGATATATTTCCTAAAATTTACATTTGCTTTGTTACAGGGACTCCTCCAATGTAGGCAGATTATAGACCTCGATGAATGTCATCTGAGTTGTGCATCCAACGGTGTACTATTGATTGCTGTGAGGATTGACCAAAATAATCAAATGTTTCCATTTACACATGCAATAGTTTAGAGGGAGAACAATAACGTATGGAATTAGTCCATCCTTTTATTGGTTAAAGATTTGAACATCTCAATCACTAGTTTAGATGAGTGAAGATTTGCACATTTACTTCTTGATATTTGAGCATAGATACTATTTGAAACAATAATTTTAGGGAGAAGCATAAGTGATTTTTGGCATTGGAGAAATTATTTTAAAGAACTAGGAGAGATATGAGGGTTCATGAATTTGAAAAGGTTGACAAGAACTTATTCCCTTGGTTGACAGATAGACCAACTATAAATTGTGATATTCAAATGAATAACTTATGTGAAAACCTCAATTTTATGATATTAAAAGCTCGCAATAAGCTAATTATCATGATACTTGAGATGATCCGAATCGGGCTAATAGAGAGGATCCATATATAACGAGATTCATTTATTCAACTTAATGGACTACTTTGTCTCAACAAAAAGATCATCCTTAATGAGAATAAAACAGATTATGCCAATTGAATACTTGTATGGAATGGTGGGTGGTAACAAGTTTGAAATAGAGAGTAGATTAAAGAACAATTGATCTTGATTGTCATAGTTGTAATCCTAGGAAATGAGAAGTATCACTCGTTATTATATAATATCATGTTTAAATTACTTACGAAAAGATATAAAGAGTGAAATGGATAGATATTATTGGAGAATCACTTTCTTAAATGTTTATATCTATGTCGTTAATCTTTTGATGCTACTGTTGTTGTTGGAAATTGTTACATGTAAGAACAAGATGCTGCTACTGGAGAGATCAGGCTATATTACTAATAGAGAGACCAAACTGCTGCTGTACGTTGATGAAGTTACTACATTCATCTCGACAGAATACTGCATTGATCAAAGTATGTGATAGGGAATATTCTCACATCGGATCGGTCACAGCCCGCTTCTTGGCCGTCATCGAGGAGTTGACGTGGAAAAGACTTGGCCTAGGTTATCCCTTCCACGACCAACAGTGGGGCAGCGACTTATCATCGATCAGACCTGCACCCTCTCTGGTCATCCTCGACGGGTGATAGCCCACAAGGAGCCATCCGACTCAACCATGTCAACTGTCAAGGCTGCTAAACATCAGCCCCTCTATCGTCCTCTAGTAGCGATACACCGCTGGGGTCATACGGATCAGTCACCCACATAAATGGGCCACAGAAGGACGTACAGATCCGCTGTCCATCAACCGCGATCCCCTCCTTGGCTTCCTAGATATAAAAATCAGGAACAAGGGTAACAGCATTGATATGAGTAGACTACATTAAATTGTTTCATTAGTACAACATTGGGAAGCCATAAATAAATGCTACTTCCAGCACAAAGTTCTCATATATCAAAGCATTCACCAATTCAACAACTCACCCAAAGCTGCTGCTGGCAAATGATCTATTGGCCTTGAAGCATCCATCATGTAATGAATAATCCATTCATTGCATTTCATCATTTAAAGAGGGTACAACAAACATTCAGACACTATCCAAATTTGCAACTACAAAATTGACATCCATTACACATATAAGTGCAACCTTAGACCCTCACCTAACAATGACAAAGACAAAGAACTATACATAGAACTTAAGAATTGAGACAAACCCAACCTATGCCAACACACAGCATTTTATCGGCAGATGCCTTCTCGGTTGGGCCAGCTGTTCAAATAAGGTACATTGCAATCCAACAAATGATCAAAGCTTCCCAATATAATTTCTCAAGGATGTTTACTTTTCACAGCAAACATGAAATTTATTTGTTTGCTCGTTTACACATAGGTGGATCAATCCAAGCAAAAAATTAGCATCCCCCATATTTCTGTTACAGCATAAACAAGGACGGATTATCGGCATTCACATGGTCACGCATAGGGGGTTATCGGCATTCACATGGTCACGCATAGGTGGATCAACAACTTCCGGTCAAAAAAGGCCAGCCATGCAACTAATAAACAAAAAGATCAGAAGAATGGCAAGGATAATTGATCGTCGAACTCACATGTAGTATTTGACATGAAGCAAACCGCCTCCAAGGGTTCTACTCTGTCCAAGAGATCATCACCGCAAATCGCATACCACAATAGCATAATCCATTCATATTCGAACTCAAGTTAGAACTCTGACCTGGCATTGCGATGTTCTAGAGGAGGATTTGTTGATTGCGAAAAGATTTGCTGCAAACCCTGGGAGAAAGATTTGGGGCAACATGGTGAAGTCAACACAGGGCCATTCAAAACTACCAGCCCCTTTGTACCACAATCGTATTCCATGAAATGATCATTTTGCTCTTCACTTAATCGTTGAATCAGCACATGATATCACATGCAACAGCTTCCATCAAAGAAATAGACATCGTTGTTAAAAACAGAGTCAAATACAGTAATTTCATGGCCATTGGGATTCTAGTGTAATTTTTTCCAAGTACAGAAACATCGATGCTAAATGGTCCAAATTATAAGAGGAAATATGTAAGTAGCTCTAATCCCAAAGATTGTTACTACGTAAAGGAGCATAAACAAAGAAAACTTTATGAGAATTAATGATATCTGATTTGAGTTCTCTCACATAAACAAAGTTAAATGGATATTGCTTTATTTACTAAAACCTCCTCTCATGAATGTACTCAAAGATCAAGTTGAAGGGATCACCTTCTCTATTCTCTCTCAGCTTTAGAATGGTCCATGATTGTGTTTCCGTTGCATGAGGAGCACTGATCACTAAGTGCATGTCATTAGCTCACTGATTGAGATCCAAACCTGCCTCCTATTACAACATTAATCACATTGATTAAAATACTAGCCATTACATGGTAAAAAGTTACTTGAACAACGAGTCTGGGAACAATGCATTTGCTGCCGAAGTTCAAGTATGAACAGCTAGTCTCAGAAAATAGCTCAAGCAGCAACCTTATCATCTGTCACTTTTTTGTCAGATGTAGTTCAGATAAGTGTGAGATTTACAGTTTAAATTCATAATTTTCATTGAACGCTGTATTTAGCTCCTACAAACCCTCTATGAATGTATATATATTGCTAGTCTATAATTTATGAATGCACTTTATAAAATAAATAATAGTACACTACTACGGGAAAAAACAGAAGAAAGTTTGCACAATGTAAAATACCTTCTTGGTGGAGATGCATGCTAGAAGTTCTCTTTAGATTTGCACTAAGCTCTCTGCCAAAGAAATTCATCGTTGTCATCAATCTTCCACAGCCTTAGTCTTTGTAATCGAAGTACGCACACCGGTCCGACGCCAATCCAGTGTTCCTGAAAGTTTGGTTGAATACATTTCAGATTAGCTGACATAACCAGTAAATTAACAATCATGAATGCCAAGAAGAATGCCTGAAAAGAGATGTAAGGTTCCTTTAAGGAGAATTTGAGGTTACCTTATCCAAGAAATCAGACAGACAAAAACTTATATCAGATAGACAAAGCTATGAACAAAATTTAGATCAAATGGCATTCAAACAATCACAGCGCTGCAACACACAAATTTCACATGAATACAAATATCCATATGGCAGCTAAAAGAGACATACAAGCATGTCCTTCATGGTACAAACATAACCAAGTCCATCTCAAGCCAAGCTGGGAAAAAGAGAATCAGCTCAAGCTTCCTCCCCTTCCTCTTCCTCTTCCTCATAATCTTCCACATCAGCTGTTGCATCCTGATACTGCTGATACTCTGCCACCAAGTCATTCATATTGCTTTCGGCCTCAGTGAACTCCATCTCGTCCATGCCCTCGCCAGTGTACCAGTGCAAGAAAGCCTTCCTCCTGAACATGGCGGTGAACTGCTCGCTCACCCGCCTGAACATCTCCTGGATGGAGGTTGAGTTCCCAATGAAAGTGGATGCCATCTTCAGCCCCTTGGGTGGAATGTCACACACACTGGATTTGACATTGTTTGGTATCCACTCGACGAAGTAGGAGCTGTTCTTGTTCTGAACATTGATCATCTGCTCATCGACCTCCTTGGTGCTCATCTTTCCACGGAACATGGCTGAGGCGGTCAGGTAACGGCCGTGACGGGGGTCGGCGGCACACATCATGTTCTTGGCATCCCACATCTGTTGGGTCAACTCAGGAACAGTGAGGGCCCTGTATTGCTGGGAGCCCCTTGATGTCAGTGGTGCGAACCCCACCATGAAGAAGTGGAGGCGGGGGAAGGGAATCAGGTTCACGGCAAGCTTCCGGAGGTCAGAATTGAGCTGACCAGGGAACCGGAGGCAGCAGGTGACACCACTCATTGTAGCAGAGATGAGGTGATTAAGATCTCCGACTGAAGTATAAATTAGATGATGAATAAATAAAAGTGCGATAAGAAGACTAAATTTAAACTACTGATACCATTATTCTTCGGTACCATCAAGAAGATTAGAATTCCGAAACAATTTTATTTTCAGTTATTCAATCTAAAAATCAAGTATTAAGCAATGAAGAAATGTAACTTCATGTTCCTATAACTGACTAAAGTAAAGAGAAACTACTGAAACACTATTCGAGGATAAGGACTCGTGATATAGTTAGTAGAGTTATCAGATGTTCTGATGGATGATGAAAACAAAACACTACTGTGGATAGAAAAAAAAAAATTTTGTAGAACTATACAAGTGAAGGAGAAGAAAAAAGGTACATGCATCACAAGACAAAGGCATGCATGCAAAGGGCATGGAGATAAAAATTGGCTTATGTATTAATATTTAATGTAAAACAGGATATGCTAAATTCTAGAAATTAAAGGGAAAATGTACAATAGTTTCTTAAACAAGTTATAAATTAAAGTTACAAGATAAGATTAATTAATGGGAGAGGAACATGTACCACTGGTTTTTCAAGTTCCTTAATATTAACATATGGGGATTCTTTGTGCAATAACCATTAAAATGATTTAATTTATAACATAGTTTTCACTTACAGGTTGGGGTTGCAAGCTTTAGTGTGCGGAAGCAAATGTCATACAGTGCTTCATTGTCCAGCACCATACATTCATCAGCATTCTCAACAAGCTGATGCACTGAGAGAGTAGCATTATATGGTTCCACAACTGTATCAGAGACCTTTGGTGATGGAAAAACAGAGAATGTCAGCATCATGCGATCTGGATACTCCTCTCTGATCTTGGAGATGAGAAGTGTGCCCATGCCAGAACCAGTACCTCCTCCTAAAGAATGGCAGACTTGGAACCCTGCAGAACAGGTTAACCAGATGTAGCAGGTTCACAGAGAGCAGAAAAAAGGTGCCTTTTTATCTTGCTTTTCTTTGCCTTCATGAGGAGTAAGATAACATGTTTGAAACAGATTTGATTTTATATATATATATATATATGTGTGTGTGTGTATGTGTGTGTGTGTGTGTGTGTGTGTGTGTGTGTGCGCGCCAAAAGAACTATATTTAGTATTTAACCATCTTGTAACATGTGCGCTGGTCTCACACAAAAATTAGTTCAACATAGCCATATGTATCTGCAGGTAGAAAGCTTTGAAGTTTGCAAGGAAGAACAATATGAAAAAGCAGATTGTACAAATCATTTGAAATCTTCAAATGGTCTTTATCTGAAGTATTCATTTACTTTTTCTTTTGCAGAGAAGACCTTCTGAGGTTGGCACAAGTTGGACAATGAATAACTAAGTCTTAGACTTTCAATAATTCCTGCTACAAACATCTCCAGCTTACAATAGTTTATACTAGATCAAGAATTAACGTTACAAGAATTTTGGCCAAATGTTCATCATCCTAGAAAGCTGAAGTATTGGCTAAAGAAGAACGCCACAAATCTCAATAATTACATCTAATTAGTTTTATACAACATTAACATAGTGCAGGAATTTTCTTAAAGGAACTGGATGAACATCTTATAATAGTTTATGCTAGATCAAGAATTAACTTTAGAAGAATTTTGGCCAAATGTTCATCATCCTAGAACGCTGAAGTGTTGGCTAAAGAAGCATGCCACAAATCTCAACAATTACTTCTAATTAGTTTTAAACCAGCATTCACATAGTGCAGGCATGTGCTTTAAGGAACCGGATGAACATCAACAACTAGAATTAATTTTTATCTGTGCGTGAAATTTTCAGCACAACTACACATGACAAAATATTAATTGTTTAACTCTACAATTGTATATACTTCGCGGGACCATATAAACATATACAAAAGAGTTGAAGTCTAAAGAGCAAAAAGATCAAACCAATTAGACCAACTGGGAGTAAGATAAAGATCAAGGGACAATATTTTCCTTCAACAGCGAATACAGAGCAGAAATAATGAATTCCAACACTATTCTGCAGAAAAAAATCCTTGTTCGAATACTCAAACCATACCCAGCTCCAAGAAGTATACCGTAAGCAAAACAAACAAAAAGACCTCAGATTCATTACATCAAACAACCAGATACGACATTCACAAAATAGATTAAAAAAATAGTAAAATTCCAACATCCCTAATTTCTCCAGCATGAAGATGAGAACCACAACGTTTAATGATGCATTCGTTAACCACTAATGCAAGGTCAGATCATTCATACAGAGAAGTCGAGCATAGAAATCAGACAGGGGTAGTTTAGCATTCATTTAACTCCACAAGAAATCACAAAAATAGGATTTTTTACATATAAGTTAGCAATTATCAAATGAAATCTTCCATATACTTAGCAGAATTTGAACAATAGCTAATAAAATCTTAAGAATCAAGAAGATTTTAGAAAGGATCTGGTCTAAATATGAACCATGAAACCGTACCTTGCAAGCAATCACAGTTCTCTGCCTCCTTCCGCACTACATCGAGTACCGAATCAATGAGCTCCGCGCCCTCAGTGTAGTGGCCCTTTGCCCAGTTGTTCCCGGCGCCGGACTGCCCGAAGACGAAGTTATCCGGCCTGAAGATCTGGCCGAACGGCCCGGATCTGACGGAGTCCATCGTGCCAGGCTCGAGATCCATGAGCACCGCCCGGGGGACGTATCGACCCCCGCTGGCCTCGTTGTAGTAAACATTAATCCGCTCGAGCTGGAGTTCAGAGTCACCGTTGTACCTGCCGCTGCCGTCGATGCCATGCTCGTCGCATATCACCTCCCAGAACTTAGCCCCGATCTGGTTCCCACATTGCCCACCCTGGATGTGCAGGATCTCCCTCATCGTCTGAGATCTAAATCGTCGGAGATCTAAATCTTAGGGTTCCCGGTGGCCGGAGAGGAGGACGAGGGGAGGGAGAGGTGATGGTTCAAAAGTTCGAGGAGCCTTTTATAAAGGGATCGGCGAAATCCCGTCACCGAATCAGTCTCACCGAAGGTGATTTTTCGAAGGGTGAGCACATCGGGCTTCAGAAACTGGAATGCCGGTGTTAGGTGCTCTCACCGCGGACGTCGATACCGCGATGGATGGAGCCGTTTGCGCTGCCTTACGGAGACGGAAAGTGGCGCGTCCGTGAATTGGACGGTGGAGATCGATCCGGAGGGCGGAACGGACGGTTAGCATGTGAAGAAGGATGTACTGGGACGACACGGCGTAGGTTTCGGCGGTTTCGTAGCTGTTACCACCGGGTGGTTGGCAGAGAGACGTTATTCGTGTCGTCTGCATGTGTATTTTTGGTGGGGGGTCGTTTGTATGCCTTTTGGTCGTGTATGAATGGAAGAGTATGGTTTTGTCTCTGACAATAATGAGGTTGGTGAGCTGTTTGGTTTTGCCTTTTGGTGTGCTCGGTATTCATTTATGTATATATAAACTTGTAATGAAACTTGGTATTCATTCATTTATGGGGTAGGACTTCAATGTCCAGTTTGCTGTGGTGCCTAAATTCATGGATAGACAGACATTGATGTGTTGTCGAAGAGCTTTGGTTTGTGATCTGTTGATTTCTGGGATCATGTGTGCACCATCAGCAAGGGTTGGAACAGGAGATTACAGGACAGAGTTGCATGAACACCACTGTTTGCCAATGGCCTGTGAAGCTTCCTTTAATGCTTTTTCTAGATGGATGGATCAACTTTGTGGCATGCAGCTTTTGGTTTAGAGGGAAGGTTAGACCGGAGGCTGAATCTGAAGTTGTGAGAACTCTTTCTTCTTCTTCTTCTTCTTCTTCTTCTTCTTCTTCTTCTTAGTTTGCTCAGTAATCATTGCTTCTTCTTCTTCTGTTGATGGTTTCCTTGAAGTGGAAGGAAATGAAAAGACTCCCAAATAAATTGAACTTAGGAAAGCAGCATATCAAGGAAGAAGAAACAGAAGTGAAGAATGAGATCCAATCCTGGAAGACTGTTGTCACTTTGCTCAGTCGTTTTCCATTGCTTACAGGGATGTGGGATGGATTCCGAGAGATATTTGAGCCTGTCACCAAGCACTAGTTGGGACTGACACAGCAGTAGTTGGCATGTCCTGCTGCTCGACTGGGCTGCACGCTCTTCCACCTCTCATCTTACGATAATCCAGCAAATATAGAACCAAAAACTTTGCCTGATTGCTGACACTTGAGCCGATTGTTCCATCTTCACAAACAGCAATTCACTAGATTGCAAAATATTATCGACACTTGCTCCTCACCAACCACTGCTTTCCCTAATCTTTGATGCATGTCTCATCCTCAACAAAGATCCAAGTCTAGAATATATATATATATATATATATATCTCCTAATGGCATGGAGCCAAAAGGGATGTGGGCCATAATAACAAGTCCCATGATGGAACCAATGGTTCACATGGACCATACAGAGATCTACAGCTTTTATTCATCTGCTTGCACCCTTACAGCCAGATGAGATCTCTTTTTGCTTCCTGCCTATCCAAGCAACTTTCCTACAGTTGAACAAAGATGGAGCACTTGCAGTATCTTTTCCTAAATCCGTAACTGATGCCATGATGGTTTGAGGATGCTTGTCAGATTCATCTTTCTTGGAATGTGAAGTTTGGTCTCATTTTTGGACTTGGCTCTAAGCTATCTCCAGCTCAAGCCTCCGTATAGTGTCTTGAATTTGCACATTTTTGGTGATGATTTATGTGCATTCTTTTTCTCTGTGTTCTTTTCAGTTTCTTCTTTTAACTAATATTTCAACCTTGTGTATCAAAATGAGTAGTAGATAAGTCAGCTGGATAAAGCTTTTAGCTCCAATTTAATCAACTGCAGTAGAGATAAACCTATTACAGAAATGCTGCAAGAGAAAGCAGCTAACATTCAAGAAAAATTTCAGTTGGAATGGTCTGGTTCAACCCACCATTGAGCATGCAGAGAACAAACAAGTACCGGTTGACAATTGAAGGATCTGCCCCTTTATCTGAACAATTTGCATGCTATTTTCAATCCTGTATTCAGACTTCATAAGAAAAGAACTTGGTTTTGAAGCAGATAGACATAAAGCAATTATGAGAGAAATGGATTTCAAACTCAATAAATAACATTGTTCAAAGTGACATATCGTACAACAAGAAGATAAAAAGACACAATCTTAAACATTATTCGGTATCAAATACGATGATGTAATTGGATGACAACCCATCATAAATAAGTCAATTTACGGAAGGGTACATCGTGTGGCATGCATATCAACATACAGAGATGTGGGTCTGACCTTAAGCCAACATTCATATTACTATTTCCACTAGTTCTTCAAAGCATTGAACGGCAGAGAGAATATGCAGGAAACTGGAGATGCAGTGAACCAGATGCTGCATGTCTTCATGCCCTTTTCATGCTGGAGTGGATAAGCCGGAAGCTGATATTGAACAAATCTTCTTGTCGCTTTCCAGTTGACCAAATTAATCCTCACAGGCCACATAGGATTTGAACAAAAGTTGACTCCATAAGTTTCCAAAACCTTAGGAACGTGAAAGAACTCCTTTTGAGCTGTAATCATCATATGGCAAGAAAATCAGCTCTGGGTGGTATATGATAGTGTTTGTTCAAATTCAATTGAAGATATTAGATAAATTGTTAGTATTAGAAAAAATCAAACTAAGAAAGACAAAGATGAAAAATTAACAGGCATAGATTATACCAACTCCCCATGTAGTCAACAACAATTAACCCATTTGGGGGTTACACACAATGCAGGTGAAAATAGTTCCCCTGGAACAAAGGTGCTCCGAGAAAGCAAAGTTAATGAATGCAGCCAAATAAGCTAACCCACAGACGGAGGGCTAGAACAAGGAACCAAGTGGTTTGAGGATGGTTGTCTGTTAATTAAGGTTGCCATGTAAGAGGAAAACATAACATCAGGGATCAATAGTGAAAAACCTCAACATCATCCTTATTAAATTGCATATTAGAGCAGCTTGTAAAAATTTGAGACGATAATACTTGTTGGTGTGTTTGTGTTAGTGTGTGTTATATGGGTACATGAGGGACCAAATGAGCTCCAGGCAATAAGTTCGTCTCAAAATCAAATTTGATTTCTAAAACTACAATCAAGAAATATGAAAAGAACTTGCATAATATGAAGTGCCATGCTATGCTATAGAGGCATCACATGTCAAGACACCTTAACAGGAAAACAAGTGATGCCAATGATAAATGACCACATACCCTGCATGTCAGTATAAGCAAATACATAAGCTTCATGCATGCATGCCCACGTATTGCCTACATGGGATGGACCGTTTCATGCACACAAACACGGCTGTCGATGACAACTGTCACGATCAAAGTATCTGCCTCAATTCAGCTCTTCAGAGATAGACCTTACCAAATAAATCAGTCGGCCACTTGTGTTTCTTCACCAACAGACTCATGTCACATGCTCTAAGATAGTTTTAATTTATGAAGGTTTTGTAGAGTCAGGCAGTTAGTATCATGTTTGATCCATCTCAGTATCATCACTAATCTAAAACAAAAGAGGACATGACCAGCACCAATGAGTAAGCTTCCCAAGATGGTAAGTGATGAGACTTCTCTTACAGCGATCAATTACTGGTTACAATAGAGATCAAATGCAGGGTTATGGAATATGGATCATACCAAGATCAGCTCTAAGTTAGATGGGAGAAAAGATCTCCATGGGAACATATGTTGCTCAAATTCCATAAGTTTTACTAATTGTTCTTTATCAACCAGTTAAACCAAATAATAACAGGATTTCCTTGAGAAGAATAATAATATAATACATTCGCCCATAAGGTGCAAGTTTTTCTGTCATTCAACTTTCTAAAAATAGAAAACGGTGCTAATTACAGTATAGAAATGTCAAACTTTCAAATCTCAAAACAACTTAAATCAACTCGGACGCTTCTAAGGTAACACACTACCACAGTTTTGGAAGGTTCAAGAAAAATACTAACCTGGGGACACTCCCACCTCGACGTGAATCATATTCTATTGCTTGGCGAAGAGCTCTTGCAAATGCCTTAAAAGTTGCCTCGATAATGTGGTGTGAATTTTTTCCAGCAAGCTGCACAATTACTAAGATATTAAATCTAGATGAAAGAAATGTGAATCAGCAATTCAGCTTACAATCAATTTATTTATCCATTTAAAATTACAAAAAAAGATGTCAGATACAAAGTTCATGTAGAATGACTAGATGTTAACACACAAATCAACTTCGCAACAAGAATCCAAAGTCACAACTTGTTTACGTGGTCATACATACACACTATCCAACCAGTTCTAAGAAAATGCTTGAACAATTAATTATATAATACCTGACGGATGTGAACGGTCATCCCAGAGGTGTTCACAAGAGATTGAAAGAAATGCTCCACTAGCTAATCAACATTACAATTGTGTATTAGTACAGCTCAAGGCATTATATTCACAAAATTTTCACTAAAGGAAAGCAAACAACAATTACATAACAACTAGATACAGTGATAGGTGAAAATAAATAATTTAACAAAAATGAATAAACAATTACCACCTAGAAATGTCTAAGTTACCAAGGTTACACTCTCTAAATTCAAAAACAATATATACTGAAAATTATCTTGTCTATTTGACTTTTGAAAAAAAAAACAAATATGTGATTTAAGTGACAAACAAGTTTCTAACAGTATATAAAATAAAGCTCTTAGTAAAAACTTTATTTTAGCCATCATGTGCATGCAGTTATGTTTCCCGAATTGTGCTATGTGCCAGTAAGAATCAAGAAAAATCTTAATCTTAAAGTTTGATTTAATCCACTAATTTTGGTATGTTAATTCATCAGAACCAAATAACAAATGATTTATCAACTATATAAAAGCTGAAGAAAGCATATCAGTGCTATGTTGCCCCACTCTGTTCCAATCTGAATCAGTGATAAATGAATCAATCTCCAAGAGAAAAAAAAAAGATGAACGGGAGCAAGCAATACCATATAATTCCCAAGTATAAAGATGATGATCAACTATGATGATGAAAAGTACAGGAGTTGCTTGCATTATGTTTTCACATACAACATCTTATAAATACACAGTAACCAGTGCAAAAGCAGCTCAGGGCTACCTGGGTGTCATATGTCCCAACTCTTTCAGTTGGGATGATTAAATCATAACTCAAGTGAGGACGACCAGATAGATCCTGAAGTAACAATCACAAAATCTAGATCAGCAATTGTCAGTATGGAATAACAAGTACTTTGTTCCTAAACTATAGCAAAAAGCAGAGATACTACACAAGGTGTAAGCCCATAGTAGCTCCTAGAAACCCCTCAGAGAGTAAATAAATCGATGCTTGATGGTACAGGTGAGAACAAAAATAATACCAAAACTAAGAAAGATTTCCTAAAAGTATGTGTCAATTTTGAAACATTATATGAGATATTCAAGAAGGAAAATCCACAACATGTTAAAGCCAGCAAAGGTAGCATGTAGTCTAAGAGTGAACCTCACAATTCAAACAATTCTTCTTTCCAAAATCTAGCAATTCATTTCTTTTTGCACAACTAAATCCATGCAAACAAATACCAATATTTTTTCAGGAACTCGTAGACTCTAAATAAATCTAATTTTGGTAGATATAATGCATAATTAATTTCAAATAATTAAGAGCGATGTCACCAAAATTTAAGTTCAAGAAGGGCCTGCTGCAGACAGAGAGCAAGCAAATAATGAGAGACTAGATTCGTGCACACAACATATTCATGCATGCAAAAAGAAGCAGGGTTAATTACATAATTCTTACCAATAAAGAGAAAGGAGAGGGCAACATCAATGGCATAATAAAAAAACATGGCAGCCAAACCATGTCCAAAAAAAATTATAAACAATATGGAGAAGAAAGATGCAAGCGAGAAGTAATTCAAGACAAAGCTTATGAAGTATTCCATAGATTGCTAATTCAAAAGCCCTTTGAACCTTTAAAATTCTTTCATCTTATTTAAAAGAATAGCAGAATAATTAAGATAACATATTCACTGGGAGATACAGAAACAGTTAAATCATATATTCATAAGTTTAAATTTTTAACGGTAGCAGACATCTTAGTAAATGCAGCCGGTAAACAAGAACAAGACGGAAGTAACTGAAATCTGAAAATGGTTCGAAAGTGGGAAATTCAAAAAATCTTCAAATAAATAACTTTGTTCAGTTTATTGAGTTTGGTCAGTTGTTTTTAGAACAAACAACCCAAAACTTTGTTTTTCAAAATTGAAGAGAACGAAATAAACTGAAAAACCAAACTTATTTGACCAAATGGAATCAGTTTGTTTAATGACTAAAAATTAGCAATGCCAATCAATACAAGAAATGCTGATTTCTAAGTGTCTTAAACCAGCAACATGGAAAGAAAAAAGAACTACTCTTATGAGGTCAAAACGGAGACCTTGAGACCCGAAATCTATGACTGAGCAAGAATTAGAAGAAGTTTAGTCATTGTTGGGCCAAATCTCAAAACAAACATGTTTCTCGAATTCACCAGCTACAGTGCACAGGTTGACATCTAGCATAGTCATAATAATCCGTTACAAGAAAGGCCTCTATCTTAACCATTTCTCAATAAAATTACAAAACTGAGTAGGCTACCAGCAACAGATAAATGCCATTGTCGCAAAGCAACATCACTATCCGAATGCAGATCCAAAACAATACTTTTAGGTAACCTGGTGGCTATGGAAACACACCTATTCCTAGTCAAGAAGAAAAACTATACCAGTATTACTTCAATGGCAGCCTCATCAAGTGGTGCTGCAAAGTGTCCAAACCGGTAAATTCCCTTTCTATCTCCAAGTGCCTGAAGTAGTGCCTGCCATCATGATGTGCAAGTATTCAAATTCTTGAGCAGAATGAATATCACAAAATGCAGAAGACTCAAATCAGAATTATAAGAATTTATTGATAGAGAATTATGAGGGGTTTTCCTAGTTCTAACCGTTCCAATTGCAAGAGCAACATCTTCATTTGTATGGTGGTCATCAATATGGATGTCACCAGCAGCCTTTACATGCAGATCAAATAATCCATGTGATGCCAGTTGCTGCAATTTATAAACACAAATAATCAACATGGAGAATAGTAAATAACAGATGGTCAAAAATAAAAAATGGTTCCCAGTGCTAATCTAATCACAGAGTAAAGAAACAATATTTATGGTTTTCATAATCTTAGTAATATGATTATACACCTAACTTGTGAAACAAATACCCTTAAATACATACAGTTAATTTTTGTTCAGTTAAACTTTTTGAAGAAGGTTCAGGCCTTTTCATAATCTAATCCTCTTAATTAAAGCTTCATTACCATAAGCATCTTTAGTTTTATTACATTTCTGCTTAAACTTATTGACTTATGGAGACACATATAGTACCTTAGCACTTGTAATCACACCTACAAATGATGAGATTGCAAATTAAAGATTTTGATGTAAGTAATTTACCATAATCATTCTGCTACACCAACTGCTTGCTTATTGTAATCATTAAAGATGGCCAAAAACTATACAATTCAAACAATAAAAGCTCTGCCGAAGCTTGGTTATGCTTGGGCATACGTTCCATCTTATTTAGATTGCATTAATAGCTCTATTTCCGCCAAATATATGAAATTATTCATTGAAGTTCCACTTTCTCTTAGCTTGTCCAATAACAGAAATGATCAGAAATTTTGCACTTTGAGTTGTACCATCCTTCAAATAACATGACAAACAGTAATATACTGCTTACGTCCAACATGTGATCCAGAAAAGGAATCCCAGTATTGCAGTTGGCAACTCCAGAACCATCCAAGTTTATGTTTACGTACACATCCGTCTCCTTTGTAACCCTTTTAACATCTCCAATTCGACAAGCTGCAAATTTTAACCACTTATTTTAGGAGGAGAAGACAAAGCCAATGTTTCATTCAAGCAGATAACAAGAGGCAATAATGATAAGAGTTCATTTGATTGCACCCAATCCAACAAAAAAAACATAACGATAACAGCAAATATCGCCCTTCATAAAGCAAAAAATGCATAACAGAATAGATTTTCATCAAGAAGCTTATTTTACCGCACAAAAACCAGAAAAATACACAAGAAATGGTCTCTCGAAGGGGTCAGCATGAACCAAATGTCCACATTGGGTTTCAGTCTGTGGTCTTAACAAGAAACCCACTTCGCGCGAAATAAAACGTCAAATCTGATACCTAACAAACAAAATCGACGTTTTCGAGGCCCACAAATGTAACTTGCATCCGAGTGCACTGATCAAAGCACTGCCTAAACGCATCTCAAAAGAAGACACAACATAGGAATTACAGATGCCAACAACTCAGCAAAGATAGCTTTTTCACGCGCAAACACGAAAAAGAACCAATCTTGGAGTAAAAAGACCACCAAGGGAGAAGAAGTACGTGATTTGGGCGCGGCGACAGCGGCGCTATTTTCCTGCGGCAAGAAGGCCGCCATCGAAAGCGGAGCTCGTCGGTAGAAACGCGGAGGCCCAAAGCGGCGAAACCTTGGATCGGGAACACGGGATCGGTAACTGGGGAGAAACCTAACCCTAGATATTTCTAGGGTTTCGAGGAGACGGGTAGCGGGGAGAGAGTTGGGGCAAAGAAGACTCATGTGTTCTCGCAAATGGAATTCGCGGTAAGTTTGGCCCAATGCAGCGCGTTAAAGCATGGTTGAGCCGCATCCGAGGAGAAGACTACAACCGCTGATGCTCCACAACTCGGTTTACCTTACTTCGCCTTGGTTGATTTCTTTTTCTTTTAATTTTTGGGGGTTTTCTTTAATGCTGTGGATTGAAATTATTTACCAAAATCATGGATTGTGAATAAACCGAAAAAAAAATAAATATATATATATATATGTATATATATATATATATATGTATATGTATATATATATATGTATATATATATATATGTATATGATAAATTTTATAAAAAAAACTCAGAATTTCTCAGACAACATCCCAAGTTTGAAAAAAAAAAATTCTTGTATAGCATCACTAATTACATAAAACTATTATTTTATCCTTAATAAATTAAAAAAAAAAAATTTCAAACCCTTCGTTGCCTTTGCATTGTAACCTCACAATGCTGAGAATCTATCTGTACCTAACAAGGGTCCAATATCGCATCGTCATCTTTGGCCATGGAAAGATTATACAATCTCTTACATTCATTCCTCATTGATCGATCTTCTCGTGCCCCCTCTTCATCGTTGGCAAGAGGCAAAGAAGGAGGGAGAGCAATTCACCCTCGCTTATAACCCCCATCATTAGCCATGAAGACTATACCTCTATTGCGAGTCTAACACAACAAAACAATTGTGCTTCTGTCGTTAAGTGGGTCTAGAGGATAGTCAGCACGATAGAGAGAGGGCAACTGATGGGGCTAAGGCGTGACCGAGTTAAGTAGAGAGCGATGACCAACATGAGCAGAATGATAATTTTTTTTTAAAAAAAAACACATTGTAAAAAAAATTTAAACTACTTGGCACAATATCTCAAAAATTCTTAAATTTTAATTTTTTTTAAAATTTACCCATATATATATATATATATATTTAAAAAGTTCAAAAAAATATTTATTTCTTAAATTTTAGTATTTAACTTTTTTATACACATCATTCTCGTTATCGTCTGTTCAATATACCAGATTAGCTTAATAGTAATAAAATTATAGAAAAAAATAAAAATATTAAGATTATCTTTTGCCATTTTCGATGATTATGAAACTCCTTATTTTCTAAATTTAAATGATAAGCATAATATATATATATATATATATATATATATATATATATATATATATATATATATATATATATATATATATATATATATAT